AAAAAAGAAGAAAAAAAAGAAAAAGGCCCCCCTAGCGCAGTCGATAAGGGGCCCTTTTTAAACCCAGCTACGGACTCGCTTGAGCCACGGTCGTTTTTCGAAACGGGCGGTTCCTGAGGTTTACCCAGCCTCTAGGAAATGGGCACCCAGGTAATTGACACTCTGGGGTAAATGGAGGAACGTCGCTGTAGCTACAGAGTTACGTGCGAACGGCGACACGGCGGACAATTCTAATCAGCTGTACGTACTGATAGCATAGCACTTATGGTTTATAACCGTGTGCAATGAAGCTGTTTCAAATCTCCCGACTTTAACTTTTTTTTATAATGTGGCAAAAATGAAGGGGGTGGGTTGGGGGTGGGGGACGGGTTAATCTACTACCCACTACCAAGCATGTCGTAGCAATCGAAAAATTAGAGGTTTTTTTTTCGAAGTCAGTGTGCATCTGCCTGACATGAAAACCAAAGGAGACCATTAACTGACTTCGTAAATCTCTGTAAATTACCAATGACGATGGAAAAACTTGCCTACAGCAAGCATGTTCTTCAGGAGCTGGGTCTAGAATAGGCAACGGTGATCAGGAAGCTTCGATACTGTCTTTTTATATTTTGTTGAAATATGGGCCTAAATTAGAATTGTGAGAGCATGCATCTTCCCTGTGGCTACATACGGATGTGAGTCGTGGACTATCTCTCAGTCCTTAAAGAAAGAGAATAGGGGCTTTTGAGCTGAAATGCTATAGAAATATTCTCAAAATATCTTGGACAAAGAAGATGAGAAATATTGACATCTTAAAAGATCTGAACATTAAGGAAGATTGGCTAATAAACAGCATCCTTTCTCGAAAGCTGAAATATTTTTGTCATATCAAGCGCCACGACGGATTGGACAAAAAAACTATAGCAGAAGGCATGGTACCAGGAAGGAGGGGCAGGGGCCGAGCGACACGAAGATGGGCACAGGATATAAGTGACTCCTTGAGTGTGGAAGTTCATGAGGCGGGAGAACTGACGAGAGACCGAGTTTCTTTCAGGCAGACTGTGATGAGAGCCACGTTCTGCAAAGGACCTGCTACATGATGATGATGATCCAAACGTCAAATGTACCAGATGGCTGGTTACATAACTATCTTAGACCATTTCCAAAACCAGACAGAGATCCTTCGCAGCTCAGAAGTTATAGAATTATAACCCTGCAGAATTTATGTGACAAACCGCTGGGGGAAAAAATGTGGCAAAGAGAGGGATGTCATACTTAGAAAGAAAGGGCAGACTACCAGGCATCATGGGCAGCTATAGGTCATCAAAGGCAACATAGGATGATGCTGGTACGTTCGCATGCGATGTGTATGAAGGACTTCAGCGAAAACAAGAAACAGTCGATGTCGCGATAGATCTTGAAGATGCCTATACCAGAGTTGACCTCACATACCTTATGCAGTGTGTGATGGACTGTGGTATGAACCCGTCGTTAGCTTACTTGATGGGGGCAGCATTGTTGGGGGGAAAAAACAGTGGTATTTTGTTCGGGAACATGGAGATCAGATCCAATACACATTTGCGCTGGCCTTCCCCGGGGATCACTGTTGTGACTGGTCTTGTTTACTATATACACAGCAAGTCTGGCAAGAATTCAGTCCGCTGGACCAGTGCGAACTTTGACATTTGCAGACGATGTCCTCGTGTACCGAAGCGGGTCAGACAGGCACGACATGACCAGAGACTTCCAAAGTACTTTACATGAGATGACGGAGTGGTCTCAACAGAGAAGGTTAAGGGTAAACCCAGAAAAGGCCAGTGTTGTGTGGTAATCTAAAAATAGCATTGGAAAGAAGGGTATTAATTTTGAAAGAAGAGAAAAGCCGAAATACTTAAGTTTGACGTTTGATCGCAGTCAATCCTACAAATATCACGTGGAACCGACTGTGACCAAGTACAAACGTGACCTGGTGGCACTGAAGACGATGGTGGCGACACACGTGGAACACAGATTGTTGGTCTTATTGTTCAACAATTTGGTCTCTTCTGTAATAGATTATGGTCTTATAATATTAACCCTATCTACTTCACGGGGTACAAAGCTTGAAAGGATTCAAAATGATGGAATGAGAATAGTCTTGGGTTGAGCACTAGATACCCCAATTAGAACAATGAGGTATATGCTTGGGTTGATATCGGTAAAGTCTAGACTGTAACAGGTACTGGCGTAAGCCAAGGCCTATATGTTAGATACCAATGATAAAAGGTATCCGCTGCATGGTATTCTGAACGATTTAAGAGGAGACTGGTTGAAAAGAGGAAAGTAATTCATGACACTAGCTGAAGATACCATTGAGACTGTGGCTGCAGTAAAACAAACACACAGAGGGCAGGAATAGGTCGACACGAACACACACAACAGCAGTTTCCATCAGATCATTACCACGCTAGGAAGAGAATTAGAGCTACAACAACTGATAGATAGAAAGGCTGGACTAGATGATGCAGTAGTGTGCACCGATGGTTCTGTCATCGGAGTGCAAGATCTGGCTGGGGATTATCAGCTAGAATGAAAGGAAAAATTGTGGCAGAACAAAATTGAGCTTTTTTTATACGAAACTTCAAGCATGATGATGGAATTGAAGTCAATCACCGCCTTCAGCTTTGAATTGATATAAAAAAAAAAGTTACCAGAGGTAAGTTTCAAAATGGACTATCGTGCCTTGAGTGTTTACCCTGCATCACCATTGCAGATAATCACATTGCTGTGGGAGACGGAATATCTTTGGGTATGCCCGGTGTGCTAGGATGTCGACTCTTAAATCAGTGCTGAAGTGTAACGAATATGAAAACTAAAGGAAACGATTAACTGACTACACGAATCTCTGTTAATTACCTATGAGAGGGGAAATTTACTGCTCATAAACAGTCCCAGAGAGCTGCATGGCAAGGTCAAGAAATTTATAAAATCTAGGAAAATAATAGGTAATCGCATACAAAGGAAACAATATATCCACCATGTTAATGACACAATGTTAGCAAGATTAATTCATAGCACAATATTTTGTGAAAAATTACTACTACTACATGCATCCCGGGGCAAAGATAAAGGTAACTGTGTGAACAGGAGAGCTTCGCAATGACCCAATCCCCTGTGTACATACGGAGCCTGCCTCGATCCGCCGCATCTTGCTAATAGAATCACCCAGCACACAAAAGCGGGAAAAACGGCGTGGTTCCAGCCACATAAGAGCTTGTTCATCACCTCCATCGTTATGAAGCCGGTAGTCATAGAGAAGGTACCGTTGACTTCCTGAAGCCTGACTGTTCTGCCTGCAGAACTAGCTGTGAAAGCCTATGCACTCTTGTGTCCTCGAACAACACACCGGTCTGTGTTGATCGCAACATCTGTCTTATATAACTTGTCACAGATAAACGCGAGGACCTCGGCATTGACAGCGACTGAAGTATGCTTGCCATGGCTGTGAATCCTGGACAATCGGTAGGCAGGCTTCATCGTTTTAAACGATGGCCGTACCACAAGATTAGCAGCCGGAGGCTCGGAAGGAGTGATCGACCTAGCTTTAGTGTCCATTACTGATGCACACACACACATCAAATAGTACTCTATAGTATTGTATTTCTGGCATAATTTCAGGTCTTTTCCTGTAAAGTAAAGCTAGACCATTCAGTTTGTAGTCTAAGCAATTTTACGATTGCATGGTATTTTAAGTTCATCTGTTGTCTGACTGTCTTTTATGCGCATGTGTTGTTGGCAATAAAAGAGCTAATAGACTGGCCAGTTCTACATTAGTTGCAAATTATCAGCCTTTGGATCTCGCTGACATTGTGAATGCACTTAGAGACATAGGACAATCCGAGCGTTTTGTGAGCAGCGTGTGCACATCTCTGCTTAGAATATGAGAATTAAGAGTAGAGACCGGCACAGACAAGCATGAAATGCACATCAGACGTAGACGAATTCTTGTTAACCAGCACAGGACTGGCACTATTACCTTAATGACGCTGATGTATATGTTTAAGCTGGAATCTAAGCACCTATGGACGTGTCCGGAGTGCCATCCCCAACTCGGAACTCTGAAGAAGTTCGTAGCGTTTCCGGTCCACATTTTTAGCGTAACCAATATCGCCATTGTCAGGACACATTTACTGTCGGCAGCTTCTAGATACCTTGTTCTACAGTCACCATGAAGCTTGTCAGGTAACTGCATACGTTCACCAATTATGTTTTATTTTATTCTTGTTAAAAAGTACAAAGGTTGGCTCTTCTGCGCCATCAGCAGTGAGCAAACAGCCGTATGCCGGTTATCGATAACCGGTAACCATGCAAGAAAGCATTTGTTCAAGAAAGGCCTTGTCTGAAGTAAAGCGTCGCGTGTCAGTTACAAAATTTAGCGCAAAAACATGAAAATGGAGAGAGGATATCAGTGATACAGCGGTCATGAAAGTAAACGATTTGGGAAAGTTGGCAACAGACTGATCTTTTATTCCGTTACGAGGAGAGCCTTTTTCAGTAAAGTAGCCAAAACCTGGTTGCAACTCAACTGCATGCTCATGCTGTGAAGTGCATTGAACTTCAGTCAGCGATGTTCACATTTTTAATATATAAATTATATAATTATTAATATTAATATATCTTCATCATCTTTAGCATGTCCTTTGCAAAAGGGCTTGCTCTCATCATGGTCTGCCTGAAGTGAAACTTCCAAGCATTAGCCATTCTTTCTTCATGTTCAGATCTTACTTTTAGAATTAATAAAATGTCAGTATTTCTAATTTTCTTCTCCTCTTTGTGGTGTCCATGGTATTTATCTAAGAATCTTTCTAAACTTGTTTGAGCATTTCAACTGTTTTTCCCCTAAGGACCGGGAGATAGTCCACGGCTCGCATCCATATGTTGCTGCATGGAAGGTCGGTGCAAACTGTCAAAATTTAAATTTTAATTTCCTTGCATAAATTATTATATACGATAAAGTATATACATGTGTGATTATGTATAACAGAATCAGCTATCATGAAACACAGATAATAATAACAGCAACATGAAAGGATACTTGGACTCTAACACGCACTTGCTTAAGAACACCTAGTTTACACAAACACAAATTTGATCCCTACCTTGATGTATAATTGTAATATTAGTCCTCACTTGTTTTTTTTAATTTCAGATTTTTGATGAAGTTGAGCCACGAGACAGTCACAGTTGAGTTAAAGAATGGAACACAAGTTCATGGAACTGTAACAGGTGAGAGACATGCTCTTGATGTTCAGAACAGTAAAACTGACCCAGCCTAAGATGAATATTGGGAAATGCCTTGGGAGGTCAAGGCACGGCATGGTGTGACCACATCACACATTGAGTGCCCGTTTGTCTTAACAAATATGAGTCGGGCACCATATATAGAAGTCTCTTGGTACATCAAGAGGGTACACTGCTTAACATGTATTGAATGTCAATACCCCAGCACAGGGCTGTTCAACCTTTGTCGATTGCGGGACAAATCGGACCTAGAAAGTGGCCTGCTGATCATTACCAGTTGTATTGTATTAATGATCCTTCTGTGTTGGGGCTGGGGGTTTTGGACTAAGACAATCCCTTTTTCAACGGGCCCCTTAGTGAACTGAGTTGAAGAGTCCTGTGTGACCCTTCCCACCCTTTAAATATGTTGCAAGAGCCCAGCCCCAACTTTAAACCCCAAAAAAATGTAATAAAAAGAGGACAGAAAGAAAACTTCCAAGCACTTTTAACAAATTAAAGAAAACAATTCTAAATGTCAGCTAATATCTAAAAGAAACAATCACTAACACATGGTAATTTAGTCCAGACATCAGTGTGATTGTTGACACTGTTTTATCTTGATCAATAACTATCAGGAGCCCTCACCACAGTGAAGGTTGGCTGCAGTGGCTCTCTAACACGCTCTGTCTCTTGTCCTGGTTGTACACTCTCTCAGACTGCTGCCTGTCCTTCCAGTTGTATCTTTGCCTACCTCTTGCTCTCTTGCCTTCGACTTTTCTCTCTCCAGTATGGTTTTTAAAAGTGTAATGTGGCCAAGGTATTTCAATTGTTTATTTTTTTTTTTTTTTTTAACAGTAATTCTATTTTCATTTGTAGCATTTCCAGAACTGCTGTATTGAGCTGTTTTTTGCTTTTATTAAATACAATCTATTTTTCTGTATACCCACATCTTGAAAGACTCAATTTGCTTGTCTAATTTCTTGTATCTTATGGTATCTGCTATTTTTAATCTGTTAGACAAAGTACAATGGAGATTATTCTCAAGCTGGCAGCGATATTTTGTTTACACGTACAAATGAACTTAGTTTCAAAATTGAAACTTTTTTTGTCCCCACCCCACTCCAGGTTGAAAACAACTGCCCTAGTAAGTCGATATGTATTCCTCCTTTTCTTCAACATTTATTTGAGTGGTGTAATTGCGTGGATACAAAATTTTACCTTCCAGCTGACTCATTCAGTTTCTTTAAGTATTTGTTTTCCTGATTAATTTCCTGGGACATTTTTGAAACATATCCAGTGTCTTTGGGTATTTGTTTTTCCTAATTAGTTTTCTGTGACATTTAACAAACACATCCGGTGTCTTTAGGTATTTGTTTTCCTGATTAGTTTTCTGGGACATTTAACAAACACATCCAGTGTCTTTGGGTATTTGTTTTCCTGATTAGTTTTCTGGGACATTTAACAAATTTGTTTTCCTGATTAGTTTTCTGGGACATTTAACAAATTTGTTTTCCTGATTAGTTTTCTGGGACATTTAACAAATTTGTTTTTCTGATTAGTTTTCTGGGACATTTAACAAACACATCCGGTGTCTTTAGGTATTTGTTTTCCTGATTAGTTTTCTGGGACATTTAACAAACACATCCAGTGTCTTTGGGTATTTGTTTTCCTGGTTAGTTTCATGGGACATCTAACAACCTGAGTTGTGTGGTGACCATGTTTAATTCTGTTTCAGGTGTTGATGTCAGCATGAACACCCACTTGAAGGCTGTGAAGATGACAGTGAAGAACAAGGATCCCGCAACAGCTGGACTCCCTGAGTATCCGAGGCAACAACATCCGTTACTACATACTTCCAGACAGCTTACCCTTGGACACGTTGCTCATAGACGACGCACCTCGTTCTAAAGCTAGGGGCAGGAGAGAGGGAAAACGTAAGTTTGTTTTCTTCCAGTGTAGGTTCTGTGTTCCCCATTTTGGGGAGAGAGAGAAAAAAAAGAATAGATGAGCTGCCTCTTAAGAAGCATGTCATACATTCGTGACTTCTCCTCCGCTTTCCCTTAAAGTGGTGTTTTCGACTGCGATATCTGTGCCTTTTGGTTGAATACACCTGATTTCAGTAAAATTATAACTTAGGGCGTTTTAACTGGTGTCTTGCAGGCCAGATCTGGCCAATGGATGTCTGTCAGTTGGCCTGTGAATCATTGCCAGTTGTATTATAGTGGTTGTTCAGTGCAGAGAACTCAGGTCTCTAGCCCATGACAATCCCTATTTTCACAATTTGGGCTGTCATCTTTCACAGCATGCTTGTTATTGGGCAGTGGGTCCTCTCTCCCCTATAAACCTCAGATGTTGCAGCCTATCTGTAAACCACAAGACTGCACCAACCAGTATTTTGAGGTGCAAATGCAGAAGACACTTTATCTGAGGGAATTCCTGTGAAAACTTGTAGTAAGGAGCTCCAGTGAACATAATATCATTTATAGTATTTTAGTCTGTTATATGGCATTTGTCTTCATTTCTTTTCACAGCATATGTGCACAGACCTACATTTTCTATGCATGTTATACAATTAATTGGTAGACAGGCCAAACAATTGAAGCCTAAGAGATGTGTTTTTACAGAAGGCTAAAAAGAGTAGCCAAGAGGTTTTGAAAGAGGCGGAAGCCTGAAGAGAACTAATCACAGACATCAGAAAGAGACAGTCATTATTTTTTTTCGGCCATGTTTTGAGAAGCAGGAAAATGGAACATGTGGTGACCTCTGGAGAGATCTGTAAAAAGGGATAGAGAAAAAAAAGGAGAGCAGATTCTTGACAGTCTTGTTGCATGGCATGGAGGAGTGTCGGCACACGAACTGATACATGCTGCAGGAGATTGCAGATTGTGGAGAGGCATGATCGCCCACGCCAGTCAGCAAGGCACATGATAATGATGTTATACAAGAGACTTCATGTACACAATTTTTTGGTACATGGTTGTTCTTGCAAAGACATGTGTTGTTTCATGCAGAAGCGTGTGTTTTGCAGCAGGCTTTATGTGGCTGTCTGATGCCATGTGTTTTGTACAAGGATCTTAATTTTACAGTTTGTTTTATAGCAGACATTGAGTCAAAACTTCAGTTGTGCCTAATAACTATTTTCTGTCATTTTTATGACTGATTTGCTTTTTCTAATTTCAAGCCATCTTCTTAACACCATCCAGAATATTCTCATTATCCTTCCGTTAACGTCTCTGCAGCTCCCTTGTAACGGCCTCAGTAATCCTCCAACTGCCCGTGATTTACCTCGATACATGGGGGTTGGATCTATATAGCTTGAAAATATTCTCAAATAACAAAGATATATATCATAAAATATTCTTCCCCGTGTGAGTTCCGGGGCCCCATTATGGGAAAACAAGAATAGACCCACTGCCTCCCCAAAGGCATGTCGTAAGAGTCGACTAATTGGAGGGCTTCCTTTGAAGTCGGAGTGCATCTGCCGGGGAGGCAAGGAACCAACAGTCTGTATTCAAGAAAATGAGATCTGTAAATTTGATGCACACGCAACACTCAGGTTCTGGAGCAGGACTGCAGTTCAGTAGGGGACAAGCAACCAGAACTTTCCACCAGAGTGTACAGCTGGTGAACGCGAAGAAGAAGAAGATAAAATATTCTCCATCCTATGCTGGTTTTGCTTTTTTAGTAGATCTTCTATTTGGTGATATACTACTATAACTAAATACTTGAGGAACAAGGAACAAACTTTTAATTCGTTAAAAAAAAAAACATAAAAAAAATTGGATGAATTCATGAAGGGTGACAAAATAAGAGAAATGTCCAGGCAACCACTTCTATCAGCGATTAGAAAACAGAGACTGTGAGCTATTGGACACACCCTGAAGGATGCAGAAAGTCAGCAAGCAAGCGTTAAAATAGGAAATTGTGAGGAAATGAGAACGTCTAATAAGAAACCCTAAAGTAAATGTTGACGAGAGAAGCCAAAGGTGCTGGACTGAATTCCATCCATGATATTGAAGTGATTTGCAATGGGGAATAGACTGCAAGCTGAATGTAACATTTAATGGCACAACAGGGCAGTGATTTCAAGTTGGACACTTCGTCTTGTGGGTTCCGGGGTCCCACTGTGGGGGGAAACAAGAATAAACTCACTGCCTCCCCCAACAAGCATGTCTTAAAGAGTCAACTAATCAGGGCTTCCTTCAGAGTTGGAGTGCACCTGCTTAAAAGACAAGAAACCAACAGTCTGCAAACAAGTAAGCAAGATCTGTGAAATGGATGCACAAGCGAAACTCAGATCCTGGAACAAAGCCAAAGTTCAGAAATGGTCGAACAACCATGTTTTTTCACAGGGAGTTACAGCTAGAATTCACGAAGTAGGGTACTTCAACACAGATTTGTTTTAGACAGGCTCCATTTACTTTGATGTATTCTGAAGGATATATTCTCTGTAATGACTTGTTTTTCTGCAAACACCCTTTAATTGGAGATCTGTGTTATGGTTTACAGCTATACTGCTGTATATGTACCTTTTAATCTAGGACATCCACTTTCACCAAACTCTGAATCAATTAGTTTGGTGCTACAGAGTTCGTGCACTGTGCTGAGATTCTTCGGACTCAGCTTGAGTCAGAAGTAGAATGGAGCACTTATGGGTTACCCCCTGTGCAATGATGTTGATCCACCATCTATATCATGGTGGTGGGGGAAGGGGAGAGGCATACACGCCTTCCCCTTGAACAATTAAGACCCCGGAACCTCAGCTATTCAGAGACCTCAGATGTTTACTAATGTGGTAACACATTTTTCCTCATCATTGCTTTTAATAAATCCTTCTGTTGTATTTTAGCCCCCATGGGAGGAGGAGGAGGCAGAGGGCGTGGACGTGGAGGACCTAGAGGACGTGGCAGAGGTGGACCCAGGGGTGGTGGTGGTGGAGGCAGCAGAGGTGGACCAGGGGAGGTGGAGGCCGAAGAGATCGTTTCTAGCAAGGATGTGAAGTCAGCAGGCTAGAAATGAAGTTGTTCTTCTCCATCGTGGCAGCTGTACATAGTTCATCATTGTCATTGAGAAGTTCTAAGTGTGAATCCTCAGTCTTGAAACTGACTGCACAGTAAATGTGGACATATTTTTTGTTTTGCTTGTTAACTTGATTGTTTCTTGTTTTAAAAAAAAAAAAGCACCCAAACGTCAAAGTAATGAACAAATTAATATGTATTTATTGGTACACATTTGGGCGATCAGTGCATGTCAGTTTGTTCATTTCATTGTTTTAACAACCTCCATGATGGCCCAACGATTTATTTCTCTCTGTTTCATATAAACATCAAAGTTACATGGTGTTTTTTGTTTTATGCTAAAAGCATGGCTTCATGTCACATTGAACTTTAGTTAAGTGTTTGTTGTTGTAATTTAGACTTTTCTCTGTTGACTGCATTAACTGGTAAAAAAAATGTTTGTTTTTTTTTTTTTAAATTGTTTTACATGTGGAAATAAAAGTTGTTGAAAGTACATTTTTGAGTGTTTTAAATTGCATAAAATGTAAATCTTTACATTCTTAGCAGAAAGTGATAAAACAGTTGTGATTGAAGTCAAGCTAGTATTAAGAAATGAATCCACTGCACACTGATAGAGATTAAAATATGAATACAAAAGGCAGGAAGAGCTTTCACAGCGCTGGGCTTGTGGAGGTCGATAAAAATTAAATCTGAAATTAAACTAACATTTTTTTTTAATTCTAGTGTCAAATCAGTGCTGCTGTACAGTATAGAAAAAGGAGGGGGGGGGGGGGGGGGGGGGGCTAAAACAAATATAATAAATTACAAATATTCATTAACAGGCTTCTGCACAGAGAATTCAAAGCTACAATTACTGATATTTAGCTTTGGGAGAGAACTAAACAAGTTCCATTGGACCAAGAGGTGAAGAAAAGATGCTAGCTTTGAATGGGACACATGCTGAGGAAAATATAACTAGAAGGTCTTTGCACTGGAACCCACAGGGGCATAGAAATAAAGGAAGACCAAAAACACATAGAGCTAGAGAGAAGATGAGGACATAAGGTGAGGGAGACATGAGAGAGAAGGTGTGGGTTGAAAGGGCCTGTGATTCATTGGAAGATAGAAGGCGGAAGAAGAATCCACTGAACGTTAACTGAAAAGCTTGGGGAAGGGAGAAAATAGATGTTTCAGCAGCAGTCTTTATCAACAAAAACAAGAGAGAGTGTCTGGGGGGGGGGGGGGGGGGGGGGGTTATGTGTATGACTAACTCTCAACTGCTTGAATGACTCATATACGAAGCACTGGCCAGACCCCAGTGGGCTTTTTGTCAATAAAGGCTGCTAGCGAGATGATTGTTTCTGTGTCAGTTTTTCCACCTTTGGTAAGCTTCTTGGTACCCGTTCAGTGGATTAATTACATTCTGATCATCCTCACTGGACATTGAACCTTTCAATTTATAAGTGCTCGAATCCCGACCTCCCCACACCTACCCCTCAGCAGGTCTCCACTTCTGTGTTGGTTTCCCATTATTTGGCACTCAATGTCCTTTCCATCTTGGACATCCAGTCCTCTTGTATTTTTTTAAAGTTTTCCTTTATTTTTTTTTGGCGCTGTCTGTTTTTGTACATGGACATACAAATTACACTAGTGATGAAGTTTTCTGAATGGGCTGTATCAAGCGCTGGCTTCTTTCTTTTATTTTCTTATTCTACCTCTTGATTCTGCTTCACTTCCTCCTTACTGTGTTGGGGGAGGGGGGGGGGGGGATATATAAGATTCTGCGGTTCTTTATTATTATCGTACCCCAGATGACGTCACAGGACAGTCAAACATTTTGAAGGGAGGTAAGACTGGGTTTCCCGGCTTTCTGGTGTTTTAACGACCCCATAACATCTAGAACTGGCCCTAACCCCAACCCACCTACGTTCCACGAGAGAGTGCAGCTTGGGTCCCACGACTGCATGCAGCCTAGGTCCCACGACTTCATGCAGCCTATCTACCACCTCCCTGAAATATTAGACTGTCCTGTGACCTGTGGATTTCCCCTGTTTGGGGTAGGATATTAATAAAGCACCGATTCTGCTTGTGGCACTCCCTCAGACATCTCATTGCCATAATTACTCATGTACACCTTGATCCAGTGAAATATTTTGATCCAGTTTCTCCAGAGACTGTATTTGATAGTTTTGTTTTGTGAAAAAGAACCTATTTCTCTGTATACCGTCAGTGTCGCTGTCTAATTGGATAAAATGGCCATAACTACTTTTCAGAAGCTAATTTTCTTTAATGTTAACCACATTTTTTGGTTTCAGGTTTCATCCTCAAAAGGGCGGTTAGGACATTATGTTGTCGTTTACAGCTAGGCTGAAATATCTGCGCCCTTCAGCCCAGCACATGTGGTGTTAGCAGACCCCCAATTAGTCACTTTTTAACCACATGGTTGTTAGGGGGGCAGTGGGTGTGTTCTTCACACACCCCCCCCCCCCCCCACCCCCCAAATTTGGCCCTGGAGCTAATTCAGGGATGTCTACATACTATATTCGGTGTCAAGCATTTGAGCATGTATTTGTTGGTTTCCTCTACACCTTCCTGTTCTTCAGCATTTAGAGCCCTTGAGGTTTGTTGCTGCAGGTATCACCCGCCTCCATTCATTTGTCTCATTGGCCATCTCTTTTCAGTTGGTGACACCAAGTGTTTGCAGGTCTGTCTAGACTACACCTTTTGTGGCTTAATTAATAATCACTTGATCTAAAATTGCTATTTGAACTATTCTAAAAAAGACTTGGGATAGCACTGCAAAAATTAAAGAGCACAAAAGACCTATGACACACTACCTGCAAATGAGTTGGGTAAAAATTGTGAGATCCTGTATCTTCTTCGTGACAACTTATGGATGTTAGTGAGGGACTCATATTCTGTTGTCGAAGAAAAAGAAAATCAGAGCTTTCAAACTGAAATTTTATAGACTTCTTCTGCGTTCGACATCAGTCATGCTAAACATTGAGTCTTTGCTGGGAGAGGTAAAAGCAGTACTGTAGTATGTGCCCAGGGGTCTGTCTTTCTGTTCCACAATCACAGGCAGCAGATTCTTTTATGCCTATCCTGTACAGTTGTGCTCAAAGACCAGTGTCCAGTCCGAGGTCTAAAAATTGTTGTTTGTTCTTTCCTGTTGAGTTTGTTTATGCTGTCACTCTCTGGTCTGTAATCTCCATTCTGCCTTCTCCACTCCCGCTTGAAAGACTGCTTTAGCGCTGTTTTGGTTTCCTTGTAGCTGTGTTGTGGAAGATTACTCCCAGCTTTTGCCAACTCATCTGCTTTCTTATTTCCTTAAATACCACAGTGGGCTGGTATCCACTGCAAGACCAGTTCTGCTTCCTTGGAGAATAAGCCAATGTTGGTCTTTAGATCTGCAATTAGTTTGTCTTGTTCTTTGCTTGATAGTGCTTGGAGAACAGACAATGAGTCACTAAGTTTAACAATTTATAGACAATTCTTAGAATACCGTAGACCAGTGATTCCAAAACTGCGCAGCAGCGCCCCGGAAAGCCGCGACCTCTTCAGTTGTTTTTTTTTTTAATCTCTTACATACAAATAGTCATACTTTTACCTAGGTTAGGGCGCCGTGGGAACATTAACTGAAAAAATGCGCCGCGACCACTGCCGTAGACCAAGAAGAACAATTTAACGGTGGTCTGAGAAATATGGTAATGGAGGGTGTTGTTTCTGGAAAACGAGGCGTGGGCCCAACTCCGAGAAGATGGATACAAGACATTGAAAAAGTATTGGCTGTAAAAGCACATGGAGCTGGAGTATTGACTAGAGAGAGGCTTTCAGAGGTACTGGATGTTCTATAAAGAACCTACTAATAGGTTATGTCTTATTGTTAAGTTCCCACCCCTTTTAAATTCATTTAGGATGTGGTGAATTTATGTTGTGACAAACAATTTATTTATCCACAGCAATTTTTCTTGTTTGAAGTCTTATCTGGATAAGAGGGATTTCTTGGGGGTCCCCAGTGAGTCCTTATTGGGTCTCCACTGTACTATTATTTTGACTCTCTCAGATCAAAGCATTGATTAGTTCATGTAACAATTTCCCATGACAGAACGAATACAGCTGGCTGGGACTCGAGTGTATATCTTGTAGAACAAGGCTGTTAAACTAAATTTACTCAGGCGCCAACATTTGTTAGATAGGGGTCATCAGAGGCCCGAGCCACAGCACAGAAATATCATTAACTTAATACAACCAGTAATGATCCGCGGGACACTTGCTAGACTGTTAGTTGATTACCTCTGTTGTCCATTGTCATTATTTTGCTTTTCAATCAATATAATTCTAAGCATTTTGCTTCATTTAGATTTTAAAACCTTGATTGTTGTTTTTAGTGTTATTGGAAATGGGTCACATCTTTTAGCTGCCTTATTCTTATTCTGTTACCTTTTCTTTGAAGTAAAGAAGGCAGGCCAGGGGAGATTATGCTACATAGACAATACAATGGTCTCTACAATACTGCCCAGACTTTGTGCTATGGATGGGGGAAACTTCATCCATGGCTGTATTCTCCCTTATGCACCATACAACACTATCATCTGGATGCACCATACAACACTATCATCTGGATGCACAATATAACACTATCATCTGGATACACAATACAACACTTTTATCTGGATTCACAATACAACATTATTGTCTGGATGCACAATACAACACTATTATGTGGATGTACAATACAAATCTATTATCTGGATGCACAATACAATACTATCATCTGGATGCACAATACAACACTACCATCTGGATGCACAATGCAACACTATTATCTGGATGCACAATACAACACTATCATCTGGATGATGAGGCTCTCGTTCCCAAGCCTAAACGTCACAACAGACCCATTCTTATATTTACCTACCACCCTCATAACATCCCTGCTAAAATTATTCTCCTCAAGCATCTCTCAATTCTTAGGGCTGACCCTACAACTAGCAAGATGTTCTCGGAACTCCC